TGTACTGGATATACCCCGCCAAAGCTGTTCCAATAGTCTCTGCAAACGTTTGAATGTCATCCTCACCAAAATCGGTACACGTGTTAAACACTTTTTTGAGTTCTTTACGGCCACTTTCTGTGACGGTCATCTGGTCCCACTTCTCAAAAGCAATAGAAAGTAGGTCCGCGGTGTTTGCAGGAAGACCGGCCTGGACGACTTCCAAGTATTGATAGAAATCGACTTGGGCTTCAACAGGGGCACTTGATGCCCAAGCTCCGTCGACTACATTCGGATATTTCTGGCGCATCCAAGCAGCCAAATTTCCACTGTATGACCCACCAATCACAATAACAGGGTGATCGATGAAATTACGAGTTTCTTGAATGTATGTGATGATCTCTATATAATCCATCATAGCTTGTTCCGCGGTGCAATAAATCAATTTGTCCATCTTTAATGAAGGAGTCGAATCTCCATAGAAACGATGCTCGATCGCTAACATTAACCCGTTGGTACGTGCAGCTAAGGTATCGATGATATAGTGATTGTCGAGAGTCTTACTCGACTCGGGACCTTCACCACCTAACATCACAAATAGTGGTGAATGCAAATCTGTCCCATCTAAGTACTTCTCACTCACAAAATACTTCACTTCAAATTCTTCATCATTGTTGGCGTTGAAATGATCCATTGGAACACTGTATGTATGCGTTTCAATCTCACTTGTGTTCGTTTCAACAGAACGTGCTAATTTATTGAGTCGGTGTTGATGTTTTGTGAGACGAGAACTGCTCAACACAACTAAGAAAAACAGCAGAAGCATGAAATTATACAGTTCATCTATTTTCACCCTTTTTCCTCAAAATTACTTGTTTGAAATTTCGAAGTAAGTCCATTTTTTTGTAGAACGTTCGGATTAATTCTTTGTTTTTTTTATTATTTTTTTATTATCTATTAAATTAATATTAATTTAAAATACTAATTAGTAAAGTATTTATTTTGAAATTATTTAATTATTAATCATTATACCAGAACACAATTGTGATTTTTTGGTTTCATTTTATGAAAATGTTTTTTTTTATTCTAATAAAAAAAACTTTGAGTCAATAAAGAAAACTAAAAATTTCCTTTTTTAATAATTATAATAATAAAGGAAGTTATATAATATATTATTAATTTATTTAAATTTAATTAATAATATTTGAACAGTACCCACATTTGTTATAGTTAAATTAACCAAATTAATTATATTAATAATAAAGAATAATAATATTACTATAATATATAGTTATAAAGATACCAACTCAATTAATAAAAAAAACTAAAATTTAATTATTAAAAAAAGAGGCTTTTTACTCTTTCGTCATCGAAAGAGTCGACTGCAATATCACAACATTGAGAGTCGCCTTTTGCTACCGATTGAATTAAAACAGTCATGAAACCCGCTTCTTTTGCTTTTTGAAGAGCCAACTTTGAGTCTTCGAATACGACTGTGTCTTTAATATCAACCCCAAGTCTTTTAGAGGCTTCAATGTAAATATCAGCATATGGCTTACACCTTTTCATTTCAGAGCCAACAATAATAAAATTGGTACAATTGAGTATTCCATGTTTTTCAAGAAACAAATTGATAGTGCCTTTAGTAGACGAAGAAGCGATTGCAAAAGGGATGTTGTGTGAATGAAGTGTTTTTATGAACTCGATGGCACCACTTATAGGTTTTGCGTTGAGTGTTGCCTCCCGTGAGTTATCAACAAAATAATTTGTTAACGTTTCTTGAGTGAATGTGTGAGACAATTGTGGGAATGTACACAAGTAGTTGTGCGCTACACTTTGAACACTCCCAACATATACCTTCTCTTTCTGTTCAGGTGTCAATACTACACCATTCGATTTTTCAAATGCGTCATACATATCAAACCACGCGTGTAATCCATCAACAATAGTTCCATCAAAATCTGCAACTACTGCTTTATAATGTGAGGACATCAAATGTTTTTTTTCTAGTTATGACGTTAATACATAATAATAATTGTATATGTATTATAAATATCTTAGGAATATATATACTCATTGTCTATTAATTTAAATAAAATATTATTTTTCCAACATTTCCATTTTTTCTATTATATGTATTAGTAATAATAATTACAATCTAATACTTTGTTTTGCTTATTTTGATAACTATCAATAATTATAAAATTTCAATTTATAATTATAATATATCGAATATTACTTTACAACTAAACTTTATAAATATTTTTTAATAAATATATAGTTTTTTTATTTCTATTATTTTTCTTAATTAATTTTTGAATTAAAAAAAAATAATTTCAATAAAGAGGCATAATATTTTTAATGTCAATGACGTGGTGATATATAAATAAATATAACTAATTTTGATTAAAAATATACTAATAATTAATAAAAATACTATACTATCAATAATACACTGTAATGATTATATCAACACAATTTTGCATAATTTTAAATAAAATGTTATAAAGGCTGTTATTTTATCACTTTCAATTTGTAATTATTCTGAAGGTTTTTGGTTTTATGTATGTTATTTAGTCAACACGTGTGAACAAATAACAGCTTTAAAAGAACACTACATTTTATTTTAAATTATCGGGACATTTCAACAAAAAAGGCAAATCACTCTTTTCAGTGATGTGGTAACAAGTTCTCCTTTGTCATCTAAGGGTTATATAAACACTAAAACTATTATGTTCATTAGTCTTAAATTATGAACTTTTTAGGTATTGACATCGGCAGCAAACACTCTTTAATTGCTTACACTGTTGCAGACACCTTTCCAGAAATCGTTCCAAACTGCGTCTCAAGTCCAGTGACGCCATCTTGTGTGATCTATCAACCCGTCACCAAGTCAGTTTATATCGGCGAAGACGCCGTTGACAAACAACTGCGATACCCTAAAAACACAACAACCAATTTTACTATGACTCCAACGTTTTCGCAAAACTTGCCTTATTTCTATTATACTTTAATGATTAATAATTTACTGAAAGACGTGAAGAGCTACTTAGACGATAAAACAATGAAAATGAATCCAAAAGACACAGTCGTCACTTTAACAGTCCCTTCTGAAATGCCAGACACTCAGAAGAACTTGTACAAAGACGTTATTCAATCACACTTCGGATTTCAAGACGTTTTAACACTTAACGATATCGAAGCAGCTGCACTCTGTCTTAAGACTATGCATTCCGTTGAAAAGAAGAATGTGCTGATTGTCGATATTGGAGCACATCATACCACAGCAGCTGTCTTTGCTGTTGGAGAGACTATCGAGTGCGTGAACAAAGCATCTGCTGTTGTTGGTGGAAACAACTTCGATGAGAAAATCGTTGAGTATGTCAAGAAGTCGATATTAGAGAAGAACCACATCGACTTAATGGGTCAAGGCTATGAGAAGACTTTAATTCGCGCTCAGCGTGCTGTTGAGAAGTCTCGAATTTTGTTATCAACGATTCCAGAGTCATACATAGAAGTTGATGGAATTAACGACGGTTCTGTCAAAGTGAAAATGTCGAGGGAGCTCTTACAAACCCTAATAGCAGACGATTTGAAAGTCATTGAAAATCTCGTTCAAAAAGTTGTTCGAAACAAAGACTTAAAGATTGAACAAGTTGAGGTGATAGGAGGCACAGGGAGAGCTCCTTATGTTGTCAACATCATTAAACATGTAGTGGGGCAGGAGGTCAAGTTTTTGAATTCGATAGATTCAGCGTGTTCTATTGCCTTAGGTGGGGCTATACATGGTGAAAAAGTGTATAAAAAGAAGGAAGAAGATACCACTATGAAGTTCTTAAAAACAGTGGAGAAGATGAAAGACATTGAGAAGAAAGAAAGCGATACAAACACTTTAACCAAACCAGAGAAAGTCGAGAACAAACAAGACGGTGAGAAGAAAAAAGAAGAACAAGTGACAGAGAAGCCAATGGAGTCAGAAAACAACGCCCCGAGTGTGTTACTCAAAGAAGTTAACGACGCTGAAATTCAGAATGAAGAGATTTTGAAGCAAGTGAAAGACCCTCAACATCAAAAAGTAGAAGAAAAGCAACAAATTTCATCTCAACTGTCACCTGAAGTCATTAAAAACATTTCAGATGAAATGGACAAGGCAACTTCGATTATAGCGGAGCGCGAGAGGAAGATGTGGATATTGAACGACGTCGAGACGAAGATTAATAAATACCGGAACTCAATAGCGACGAAAGAAGGGAATATGCCACAAAGTGAAATCACACAATTAAGTTCGACTATTAACAAATTAGAAGAGTGGTTGGATACAGCAGAGAGTATGGAGAGTGAGCAGTTAGAGAAGGAATATAAAGAGAATATAACACTTCTCGACACCTCAGCGCCGACATTAAAAACGTATTTGGACGCCAAAGAAGCGACGCAAAAACTTGAGAAAGAGAAAGCCGAGAAAATGCGAGCGGAGCGGGTGAGTACTGGGGAGACTGCAAAGAAGCGCCCGGAGCCAAAGACAAACAAAGAGAAGTACGAAGCGTACGAGAAGGCAAAAGAGAAAGGAACAAAAGCGTTTAAAGACACTGATTGGTTGAGTGCCATTCGCATGTATTCTGCTGCTCTTGGGCATTTAGAAGCGATGTTTGACATGACTCCTACAGACACTGAGAATAACAAGAAAGGGAAATTGGCCTTATATTTGAACTTGGCAATTTGTTTCATCAAAGTCAGTAAATTCAACAAAGCACTTGACAACGCGGACTCTGCGTTAAAGATCGATGAGAACAATATCAAAGGCTTATTTAGAAAAGGATTAGCTTTGAATGGGTTAAAGAAGTATGAAGAAGCGCTTGGAGTATTTAAGAAGCTTGAGACGATTGAGAAGTCTGCGTCCACAGAAAGTTGGATCAAAAACATCGAAGCCAAGTTGAAACAACAAGAAGAAGAGGCGAAAAGAGTCGCTCGGAGAATGTTTGGTAATTAATAAAGGAAGTCATCGTATTTTTAATATTGTTTTTTTTGATCCAAAAGAGTAAGAAATGGTCGATAGAGTTATTGAGAACTTAAAAAGTAATTATTAAAGATTATGTGGTTCGAATGCATCGCCTTTGTCTGTATAGGTTATATCATTTACCACGTCATACACTTGTACTTCAACCAACACAAACTGATCTTCTACCCAACACATAATGGGGAGGACTTCCCAACACTCGACTACATCAAAGAACACTCCCACCTCCCTTTCGATTTGAAAGAAGTCAAAATCACGACAGATGATAATAACACCGTTTACCTCTACGCATGCTTACAACAAAACCCAGAGATACACACAACTATTTTGCTGTTCCAGAGTAATGCCGGATCAGTGTTGGACCGCCTCAGATTGGCTGCAAATTACTATAAGCTGTGCGACGTCAATTTTTGTATTGCTGTGTATCGGGGCTTTGACAAAGCAACGGGTATCCCCACAGAACAGTACATGACACAAGACTGTGAACGATACTTTGACGCATTACAAAGTCTTAATATTGATATGAATAAAGTGGTCGTATTAGGACGTTCAATTGGGGTTTCTATGGCATTGAAATTGTTTAACAAGCGCAAGTGTTACGGCTTGATCATCGAAAATGGGTTCACCAGTTTATATGGGATGGCCATCAAATTTTTCCCCTTCTTAAAAAGCCTAAGTTTTGTGGTGAAAGACAAATGGGACAATTTAGAAGAAATCCAAAGAGTGAATGCAGGAAGTAAGATTTTGATGTTTAGCTCTGGAAGTGACGAGATGGTATCGCCAGAAATGATGGGACAACTCTATCTAAAAGCAAAAGAAAATGGAAGGCTTGTCCGATTTGAATCGTTTTCTGAAGGTAATCACATGAATTTACCAGAATACCCAAGATACTTTGTTATTGTAACTAAGTACTTGGAAGACTTGGAAAAGTCTGATGAATGTTTTGACTGTGGAACTTTTGAAAATTGTTTGAACGAGTAAATTTGAAAAATAATTCCATTTTCGTGTTTTGTGTTGATATTTAATTTTAATATTATTAACTCGTTAATTTTCATTAATATATTTGTTAATATTAATAATTCAAAGGTTGTCCCGTTCTTTGGTATTAATAAATGAAATATATTAATAATATTTTTTGTAACTCTTTAAAAAATATGTTTTAATTTTTCTAAATTGTTTGTTGCATATTTTTTGCAAAAACAACAACATAAAAAGACTTTATTTCATTTAAATAAAAAAAATATTTTTTGTTATTAACACTTAAAATAACGCACTTGTTTTAACCTGTTTTTCTGGGATATTAATCCAATTTTTGATGATTATCCTTTTTTTGGCTTGTGTGATGTTATGGACATTAAATAATCTCTAAAAAAAACGGAAATTTATTTAATAAACTCGATATTTCCCGATTTTTAGACCACTTGAATTTTGTTCAATGTTATTTAAGTGCTAAGTTATATTAGATGTTATTTAATAGTTGTCAATTTTTAGTATTTAAATTAAAACACGTGTAAATCATTTACTAATATTATAACTAATATAATAATTAGTTATAATAAAAATGTTTTTTAACTAAATTGTTATCGAATAACAATGATTGTAAATAACACATTACTATATCGGTAAACCGACTTATCATTTATATGAAATAAATAGTGTTTTTCGATTCAATAATATTTTTTCGCCGATAAATTTGTTTTTAAAATTTAACACAAAGAATTAATCGTTCGTTATTAATTTAAAATTGGGTTTTTTTTAACCCCTTTGATAAAAAATAAACTTATGTTGTTTTTTATTGACATAATTTATTAAATAAATTATAATAAAATTTAATAATAATGGTAATGTCGACTTATAACCAAATAACAGTTTTAGCATTTAATACCATCATTATGATATAGAATTCAATTTAACTCTTTTTGTGTATCTTATTCCGATATTTTTTACTAAACAACATTTTTTGTAAAATGATATTACGATTGAATTTTTTATGGTTCTATATTTAAACAATCTTTTTAATACCCTTTAAATCAAAAATCAAAATTGGGACAGAATTTTATTTTTTCCTTTTGAAATGAAATAAATAGTATAATTAAAATATAATTATAGCAAAAAATTAAAAATACGAGTTAATTGTTCAAAACTTAAATAGTTATACACTTATTAACCTCAATTATTCCTTAAAATAATAGTAATTATTAATTTAATAAGATATACAGATAGGGTATTTAATGGGTGCCAAGAAATTAGAGGATTGATTGATGTAAAAATACGGGTTTTGTTTTTTTGTTTTTTATTTGTTTTTTTTTTCTTGATAATAATTGATACGAAAATGGGTGCCAAACTCATTTCATATCTTAAAATAATTCTGGCACCCAATAAGTTTCTGGCACTTTGAAAATACTCGATCTATAAACAAAGTTGCTCTTCCTTAAAATAGAATTTTTAGACCGCCAGTAATTAAACTATAAATATAGTATAAATGTTTCATTAGAAACTAGATATGAAAGTCAATTATATTTAATAAGTTAGTTAGCTAAAAATATCAATGGAGTTTTATGGAAGACTGTTTTTTCGAGGCCAAGATGGTTATTGATCAACTGTTCTTTTGTTTTGTTTCTTAACACCGAACTTTGAAATTAAGTATATGTTGCCCAACGTTCATGAAGCCTTTAAGAAGAGGTTTAAGTCTTACATAAAAGCAATACCAAAGGCTCAAATAACTCCCATAATCAGAGATGGGTATATTAAATATTTCAACTCCAATCCATTTACAATTACAAGTTGTGAACAAAACTTTGGAATGGCTTCTTTCAGTACTTACCCAGTCATCAATGGTATTAAACAAGGTGAACCCAACTGTGACTATTCTGGAATATTACAATTACACAATAGTCAAATAACAGCCATTTGTGATGGGTGTGGATGGGGAAGTGCTTCATGTTTAGCAGCACAAAGTGCTTTGCACGGATTGTGTAAGTGTGTGGAGGACAACATCAGTGGTTGCAAAACATTGAGAGACGTTGCAACTATTCTTGTTCGGGCAGTTGAATGTGCCCATAATAACGTTTGTTTTCTAATAAATGATATTTCTATTTATGTTACATGAAGTACAACAAAAATATCACAACAAAAGGGGGTGTTCTGATTTAGATACAATTTACTAATCTACAGATATTTTCAAATGACAAACAAACAACTGCGACAACTACACTTATTTCATCAATAACATTACAATCTGAAGGGAAATTGTATGCACTTGTGATTTCAATTGGCGACTGCCAATCATTTTTATTCAACACAAAGACTTCAACGACAACACCAGTGAATGACAAATGGAGTCGGAATATTTGTGAAGTGAATGACTGTGGTGGATGGATTGGGTATTCTGCTAAGGGTGTTCCAAATCTAAAAGGATGTTTTTTGAAGCTTTTGGAAGTGAAAGAGGGTGATATTATCCTTTTAATGTCAGATGGCCTCTCAGACAATTTAAACGAGTTTGATCCTCCACATTCTTCAGTATGTGACTTACTCTCTTCGACCCTCAAAGCTTCAACGTCTCTTGGTAATTTCGTTTATCAGATGACACACTTTGTCATCGAAAAAACCAACGAAACTCGAATGTTTCATCAAACCCATACATGTAAGAGGAAAGATACATTAAAAGGTAAATTGGATCATGTCACTTTAATAGCTTCTCGGGTAAAAGCCTGTTATGAAAATACCCATGATATTAACGAAATAATATCCGAAGAAATCAAAACAATATACCCGTCAAAGTCTGATTTTAAACGACCAAACAGTGTCTCATATTCTCATGAAAAAATGGAGGACGTACAACGTACATTTTCGAACCCGTCTTCTTCCGAATTCACACACTTCTATCCTTCACTCTCAGAGTCTTCTGTACTTCCAACACATCTTTGTGTTGGAAGTAATGTCATTTCCATTGAGAAAAAAATGTTTGGCCACTCTGCTGATCCCTCCCCAGACTTCCACAACGTTCACATGACAATTACAGAGTCACCATCACCTCTTCCAAGGAAGAAATTCAGAAATTCCTTCATAAACTTATTCCACTAAAATGACTTAAAAATGTATTTATTGATTTTTCCTTTGTTTTACCATTTTACAGTATCAAATATTAGATTTATTTTTACTATATTTTATATTACAGTCCGTTTTTCTTTCAACTAAAAAAGAAAACCTCAAAGTATGTTTACTAAATCAATAATAGTAAAAATACCATAAAAATAATTATATGAATTGATAAAGAACTTAATATTTTATTTGTCAATGTCTTTACTTGCTGGTGTGCTTATATGCTTGGTGCTTTATATCTTGATAGTCGTCATTTATGCGAAAGGAGTTGGAATGAATTGGCACTATCCAGACCTTCATGGGAAGACTGTATGTATATTAGGTGGTACAGCTGGGATAGGGTTAGAGACAGCGAAAAAGATTAAGTCTTTAGGAGCAAATTTGATAATAGTTGGGCGTAACCCGAGTACTCTTGAGGATGTCACGAATGTTGAAGTGGACTTAAGTGACTTGAAATCCGTTAAAACTGGCGTAGAAAAGTTGGAACATATAGTCGACCATATTGACATATTGATAAACAACGCCGGGTGTGTTGTCTTGGAATATGGCCAGAAGACTAAACAAGGGTACGACATCACTGTTGGTGTTAATTATATCGGAACAGCTTCTTTTGCAATAGGAGTCTCAAGTCTCCTTATGAACGCAAAAGCTCCGCGATTTGTCGTGGTGTCGTCGTTGAACGCGGGAGACTGGCACGAGAAAGAACTTCCATTTGACTGGGAAAAAGCACCTGGGGAGGAAGATCCATATATTGTGAGTAAAACTGCCTGTTCACTCTTTGCTGTTGGATATGCTAAAAAGTATCCAAAAATACAGACAGCACATGTCCACCCTGGGTTTGTGAAAAGTTCATTATGGAGGAATATGACTGGATTTACTAAAGCGTTATATGCAGTCGTATTGTTCTTGGTTGGGAGAAATTGTTGGGAAGGAGCTCAGACATCATTGTACTGCGCATTGGCACCGAAAATAGTGTCAGGAGAATACTATGCGGACTGCTTGAGACAAGAAATTAACGTGCTCTGTCATGATGAAGAGGTCATTGAAAAACTTTGGAAGAAGACGATGGAAGCAATGGAGAAGGTGGATTAAGTTTTTGAAATGGTTTAAACTTGTTATATTATATCTTATTATCTAAATAGAAATAATCTTATTATAATCAATTATTATAACAATATAAATTTTTAATAAATACAGTAGGGAAAATGAACCTTAGCCCAACAAATGTACTTTAGCCCAAAGAAATTCCTATATTTTTCTTTAAAAACACGGGTTTTTACCAAAAAAACAAATATTTGAGAAAAATGACTTATATATAGGTATAGTTTATTATTTTAATATAACAATAGAAATAAATTAGTTTTTCTTTGGGCTAAGGTTAA